CACAGGGGACCCGCCCACCGTGCACGCGGGGAAACCGAGGCCCGGGGCACACGGTGGGCCCGGCCGCCGTGCACGCGGGGAAACCGAGGCCCGGGCGCACGAAGCGGAATCTCGCCGTCATGGCCGTTCGCGACAGGCGCATCTCCATCCCAGCAGAACACCGTTAACACATTCCAGAGAGCGCTGGTTCCAAGAAGAGTTGAATAGGGTTGAGGGTGACAGGGACGCCCCTTGGAGAGGTGATAGGGAACGAGGGCCAGCGGGGCTGGAGAGTGTGTGTGGGGTGGGGGGCACACGAGGTCAGGGAGGCCAGCGCCGGGAGGCCGCGTGGCTGTGGGTTCCCCAGCGCTTTTGGAAGCCCCCAGGAGACACGGCGCACCCCGGGCCTGGCGGGGTTCCCGGCTCTGAGCGGACGTCCCACACGTAGAGAAAATCCCTGTGATGGTCGTGTGCTGTATGTCGGTGCTGCAAAACGGGTTTGTGATTGGCACCAGCCTGCAGAGGGAGAGGAAGAGGCGTTTGTCATTTCCCTAAATCGAGACGAGGCCAATGCGCCCTGCCCCACTGGTTGGTTTCGTTTCACAGCGACTAAGCCGGGTCCTGGCAACAGCACCAGCTTCGGGGCCGCCAGCCTGGACGCGGCCCCGGGAGCCCTGGAGCCTGCCGCGGTGCCAGAGCACTCGGGCGGATTAGGGGGCAGCCGCCGATTTCCACGGAGGCCTGCCGCCCTGCTGTCCGTGGCTGTCTCTTGAGCCCAAGGCCGTCGGGAGCCCCAGAATCACTAATCAGGAATGTCCCGGCGGATTTAGGGGAATCCCCGAGGCATTCCCGTGGATTTGCTCTCTCCAGGCCTCCCATCCCACTCTGCTCTGGGTACCACCACTGCCAGCTGCTTCTCTTCCTTCTCAGTGACCCGTGCCAGGGACAGCCCCCCCTCGACAGCGGGCAGAGGGAGGAGACACCGGAGTCTCACAGCCCAGAGGAACAAGAGGCTGACACTGATGGAGCCTCCACTGGGACCCAAGCATGGGTCTACACCGTCCGGCCACCTGTGTGCTTTCTGATCTCATTCACACAGGTCTCCTCTGCACATCCATTTCCTTCTGGAAGGTTTTTCCCTGAACCTACACAACTCCCTCCTTCATGCCCCTGCCCTGGGGCCTTTGCACAAAGGCCTCCTTATCAGAATATCCTCATGTCTCCCTCTAAAACGGTTGAGGAAGGCGCCTTTCTTTTCCACAAGAGCTCTTCGCTATAAATTTCATGTCAGGCCAGCGTCCAGGAGAAAACTAGCAAAGCAGCCAAGAAGCCCGGATGGCGGTGTCCTCAGCTGGTGGAAGTCCCTCTGCTGTCTCGGGCCAGCCCCCGAGTCTTGCTGGACGCAGGCACACCTGCCCTGATCAGATTCACCCGGATTCCTGCCCATCAGAAGTGCGCACACTGGGGGGCATAAAACAACACAGATTTACTCTCTCCTGGTTCTGGAGGCCGGACATCTGAGATCAAGGTGTCAAGAAAGCCATGCTTCCTCCGGAGGCTCCAGGGGAGGGTCCATTCCGCCTCTCCCAGCTTCTGGGGCCCCAGGCATCCTTGGCTTGTGGCCACATCCCTCCAGTCTCTGCCTCCGTCATCACACGGCCATCTCCTCTCTCTGTCCCTTCTCTGCATGTCTCTAAAAGGGACACTTGTCACTGGGTTTAGGGGCCACCTGATACTCCAGGATGCTCTCGTCTTGAGACCCCTAATCACACCTGCAAAGACCCTTTTTTCAAACACGGTCGTGCTCACAGGTTCGGGGATGGGGACGTGGATGTATTGTTTTGGGGGCCCCAGCCAGGCCTCAACACCATCTGAACCTGGGACCCTGACAACAGGCTGCCACCGGCCCCTGGTGACGGCAGGGCCGCGTCTGGGGAGCCCCCCAGGCTTAGGGCCGGCATTGAGAATTAGATAGATGCCCCCGACTTCCCGACAAGCAGACGGCCTCCTCTCTGTCTCTCCCGTCTCGCCTTCCCCGCCGGCCAGCTGTTCCTCATCAATGATTCAGGGCCAGCCGAGCCGCCTGCTCACCTTGTGATTGTTTGAGAAGTTTGAAAATGATATTTTCCCTGCGGGAGCGAGGGAGGTGGGGGGAGCCAGATGGGGGGGTCTCCCGTGAGGCCTCGTTCCTCTTCTCAGATCTGATGGGTGTGGAGGATGGTGCCTCAGTTTACCCCTTTGTCAAAATAAGGGGCAGGGGCAGGCCAGTCCCCCTCTGCGTCTCATTTGAGTTTCAAATGAAAACGCCTTTATAGTTGTGGAATATTTGTTCGTGTTTGCTAATTCATTGCCTCGATTACAAAAGCAATGGGGGGTGATCCTAAAGCAAAGGGCGTGGGCCTCCCCTCACCGACCTCCCAGCCTCTCGGGCCCATTTTCCAGATTTCTGTTGGACTGAGCTGGGGGTGGGGGATCAAGGAGGCACCGCCAGCCCCTCCAAGCCGGGGCCCCTCCCCTGCCCCAGCTGGGTGGCCGGAGCCGCTCCTGGGCCTCTGGAAATCAGGGGCAGAACCTGAATGGTTCACTCTGGCCTGAGAATATTCACTTTGGAACTGCCCCCCGCCCTGTGGCCCCCCGCGCTGTGGCCCCATGGTCCTGTGGCCCCATGGTCCTGTGGTCCCATGGTCCTGTGGTCCTGTGGCCGGCCCATCAGGGAACAGCTGACTCCCCAGCCCCAAGGCTTCTGGCCGCCCGCCCCCCCATCTAGGGTGGGAGCCCAGGCCTCTTCCTCTGACACCCCTGCCAGGCCCTGCCCAGCTCCAGCCCCCAGGGGGACCCCGTTCCTGCAAGATGGTGGGTCCACAAGGTCCTTCCCTTGAATTGTCACAGTCACCTCTCCAGGGTCTTCTAATCCCAGGCGCCCATTGCTGGCTCGGCCTCTCCCCTCCCCCACCCCAGGCCCTCTGGCCAGCGTGCAAACTCGAAGCTTATCTGCCCAAACCCGCCTGGCGGGCCCCGCCCCCGGAACCCACCCTGTC